AGAACCTCTTCTGACATCCATTTTGGTCTTTTCTTTCTTTCCTGTCTTTTTAATGACCTCTTGCTTTCTTCATGTACGATATCCTTGAAGTCATTCCACAACATTGTCTGGTCTTCAGTCATTAGTGTGCAATTCATCAAATCTGTTCTGGAGATGGTCTCTAAATTCAGGTGTGATATACTCAAGGTTGTACTTTGGCTCTTGTGGACTTGTTCTAATTTTCTTCAGCTACAACTTGAACTTGCATATGAGTAATTGATGATCTGTCCGAAAGTTGGCCCCTGGCCTTGTTCTGACTGATGATATTGAGCTTTTTCATCGTCTCTTTCTACAGATGTAGTCGATTTGATTCCTTGTATTCCATCTGGTAAGGTCCACGTGTATAGTCATCGTTTATATTTTTGAAAAAAAGTATTTGCAGTGCAGAAGTTGTTGGTCTTGCAAAATTCTACATAAAAATCTCTGGCATTGTTTCTATCACCAACGCCATTATTTTCCAACTACCAATCCTTCTTCATTTCCAACTTTTGCATTCCAATCACCAGTACTTATCAATGCATCTTGATTGCATGTTTGATCAATTTCAGACTGCAGAAGTTGGTAAAAATCTCCAATTTCTTAATCTTTGGCCCTAGTGGTTGGTGCGTAAATTTGAATAATAGTCATATTAACTGGGCTTCCTTGTAGGTGTGTGGATATTATCCTATCACTCACATTGTTGTACTTAAGGATAGATCTTGAAATGTTCTTTTTGACGATGAATGCAATGCCATTCTTCTTCCATTTTTCATTCTGGCATAGTAGACCGTATGATTGTCTGATTCAAAATGACTAATACCAGTCTATTTCAGCTCACTAATGCCTAGGATATCAATATTTATACATTCCATTTCATTTCTGATGATTTCCAATTTTCGTATATTCATACTTCATGCATTCCATGTTCCTATAATAATGGATGTTTGCAGCTGTTTCTTCACATTTTGAGACATGCCACATCAGCAAATGAAGGTCCCAAAAGCTTGACACCATCTATATCACTAAGGTTGACCCAACTTTGAGGAGGCAGCTCTTCCCCGCTGGTATTTTGAGTGCCTTCCAACCTGAGGGGCTTATCTTCTGGCACTATATCAGACAATGTTCTGCTGCTCTACATAGGCTTTCACTAGCTAATTTTTTCAGAATTAGACAGCCAGGTCCTTCTTCCTAGTTTGTCTTAGTCTGGAAACTCCACTGAAACCTCTCTACCAAGGGTGACCCTGCTGGGGTCAATGGAATATTACTTAGCCATAAAGAGAAATGAAGTCCTGATACATGCTACAACATGGACGAGACTTGAAAACATTAAATGAAATATGTCAGTCACAATGAGACATATATTATCTGATCCCATTTATATGAAATATCTATAATTGGTGAATGTACACACACACACGAAAATCAAACCTGTTGCCACCAAGTTGATTCCAACTCATAGTGAGCCAATAGGTCAGAGAAAAACTGCCCCATAGGGTTTTGAAGGCTGTGAGCTTTATGGAAGCAGATTGTCACATCTTTGTCCTCGTGGGGTTCAAACTGCTGACTTTCTGGTGTGCCACCAGGGCTCCTTGGCAAACATATAGAGACCAAAATCTATTAGTGGCTTCCAGGGGTGGGAAGCAGGAGGAAAGGGGGAGCCATTGCTTAGGGCGCACTGAGTTTCTGTTAAGGGTGATGGAAACATTTGGGAACAATAGCTTGTGATGGAACAATAGTTGTGATGGTAACACAACATGATGAATGTGATTAATGTTACTGAATTGTACATGTACAACATGTTGAAATATCAAATGTTGATTTATTTTTAACCACATTTACACATTATACACACACACACATACATATAAAATGGAGCATATAGTTTGGGGAAATATTCCAGATAACAGCCAATATACAGCATCCCCCATCCCCTCCACCTAAGTAAAACAAGATGAAGATATATTTCCGGAAGCACCTCTGGAATTGAGTGGGTACCTTTCTGGCTTCAGCTGAGGTGTCATGCTCTCCACCCCTGGGTCAGCAGTGCAGGGTTGCGGGCGGCAGCTTGTAGCTGACTCGCTTGTCAACACCCACACCCACCTCCTATCCTCTCCTCCTACAAGCTCCTTCCTCCCAGGGTCTAGGTCCCTGCTCAGATTGGGTCTGGCAGGCTTCTTGGAAAGGAAATGTGCTTTTACTCTTTCCATATGGTGGGGCTGTGAGCAGTGACACTTGATTTACCCTTGTTAGAATATAAATGGTGTTAATTTTACTGTGACAGGGGAAACAAAAAAAAAGAGTTCTGTTTGAGGCAGCAGATAATTGGCTTCATGGTGAGAGGGAACTTTTACTTGGAATGAACTGGAAAAGACGCAGAAAACAGACAAGGAGGCACAGGGACTTTGTAATCTGCAAACATTCTCTTTAAATTGGTAGAAACCTACTTTTATGAAAGTCTCACCTGGCAAATACTCAGTCTAGGGAAAAAAAAACAAAACAAACTTCATGGCATTAATTAAGGTAGTTGAATTAATAGTCTGAGACTGATTATTAAAATTTTTAAAAATATTAATTTTTTAAATAAAAAAATAGTCTGAGACTAATTTATGATCAAATTACTACTCAGTCATTACAATTTGAAAAAGTCATCTGATGTAGCCAAGACAATGTTATATTTACCTAAAATAAACAAACTTACTTGATTATCTTGTAAAATTAAAGAAATTTAGTGTTATGGATTGAATTGTGGCCCCCCAAGTATGTAACGAAGTCCTGGCCCTTGTACCTGTGGATGTGACCGTATTAGGAATGGGGTTTTCTTTTTCTATGCTAATAAGATCATAGCAGAGTAGGCTGGGTCCTAAACCTAATTGCTTCTAAGTTATAAAAAGAGCAGAATAGACACAGACACTTACACAGGGGAAGACAGATATCAAGGAATGTCAAGGAATGCCAAGTAACAAAGCGTTGTGAGCAGCTACTAGAAGCTGAAATAGACAAAGAAGGACCTCCCACTAGAGCCAGGCTCTAATTTGGACTTTTAGCCTCCTGAACTGTAAGAAAATAAATTTCTGTTCTTTAAAGCCACTGATTTGCACTGCTTTTTGTTATGGAAGCACTAGGTAAATACGACATTTAGTAAAGTGATATGTTGTGTCACACCTGGGTACTTGCTAAAAGAGCAAGTAACAGAACTAACATTTTGCTACAGTGAATTTACTAGACAAAGAAAACATCTTTCCTGACTGTGATAATTTCATTTCTGAGGGTTCTGATTCTGCTTTTTATGGATTACAGTTTCAGCAGACAAACTAGAAGTAGTGGTAGACGGATGAATTTAAGAAATTAGAATTATTCAATTTTGACTAACAGTTGCAAACTTAGTTAACAGAAGGAAAAAAAAGAAAATATGAGCTATAAAATTCTCTCTCTCTCTCTGCATTAGGTATCATTAGTTGTCAAGATAATGCCAAAATGAAGACTTTTTCAAAAGACATCCTTAACTGTCAGGTAGGAAAAATTTTCACTGACTGTGGGAGGAAGGGAGAGATAAAATGAGATCTTATGTCTTTTCCTGGAAGGTGTGGATTAAAGTTTCAATACTCTACCTCAGGGCCCCAGGATAATTATGCGTTACCTAAAGTACAGCCAAACTAGGGAGTCTCAATTGTCAGGGAAGTTGGCAACTATTTGTGAGAGAAATTGGGCCTACCCAAAATAAAAATCAGTATTACCTCACTTGGAGTAACCCATCTTTTGCTCACGGATTAAATTAAAATTAGTATTATTTTGCAATTTAATTACTTCTTTTACATAGTGCACAAGAGATTTCACAGACAGTATATTTGGAAACATATGAGCAAAAATTGAGTATGAATTATTTCCTAAGTAATCTACACTATCATTTCATCTTTGAGATTAGTTTCCCCATAAATCTGTAAAACTGACACTCCAGAAGAATTCTGTTGGAAAGATTTCTACTATGAATTATTTGGAAGAATGAAGAATATGTCATTCTCATATTTTTCAATGACTTACATGTACACACTTTTACTTTAAGCATAGGGTTTAAAGCAGGCCATATTTATGATCACCTAGCATCAAGCTTTCAATATAAGTAGAAATAAATTCTAAGTCATACTTCCTAAACCTGATGGAATAGGTCCATATGTGGAAACACTTCCTTATAACCAAAGATAAGGTGTCATGGATTGAACTATGTCCCCCAAAAATATGTGTATCAACTGGCTAGGCTATGATTCCCAGTGTTGTGTGATTGTCCAGCATTTTGTCACCTGATGTGATTTTCCTATGTGTTATAAATCCTACCTCTATGATGTTAATGATGTGGGATAGGTGGCAGTTATGTTAATGAGGCATGACTCAATCTACAAGACTGGATTGTGGCTTGAGCCAATCTCCTTTGAGATATAAAAGAGAGAAGTGAGCAGAGAGACGGCGGTGGAGGGGGAGACCTCACACCACCGAGAAAGCAGTGCTGGGAACAGAGCACATCCTTTGGACCTGGGGTTCCTGCACGGAGAAGCTCCTAGTCCAGGGAAAGACTGATGAGAAGGACCTTCCTCCAGAGCCGACAGAGACAGAAAGCCTTCCCCTGGAGCTGACGTCCTGATTTGGACTTCTAGCCTACTAGACTGTGAAAAAATAAATTTCTCTTTGTTAAAGCCACCCACTTGTGGTATTTCTCTTATAGCACCACTAGATAACTAAGACACAAGGCAACTTTCTTGTTGACCTTCACACAGTCTCGCTGAGGACTCGTTCTTGTCTAGATTCTCATCTCGAGATAAAGCAGAGGTTGAAAAGAAAAACAGCATCCTTCATCGCCTGTGGCAGGCTTCTGACTTCTTCAGAATCTCCATAGTATTTAACTTCCTGTGGCAGGGCTCCGCTTCAAGTGAAAGACTATTGCAAGGGTAAGTAAGTAAGACTTAGGGCTACTACTTCATTTTTCAACTTACGCTTTCCAGGCGATATCTTCGATCAAACACGCGGTAGGAACCAGAAATAATCCCAGCCAGAAGTGTGCAGAGCTCAGGACCATAGTAGCCTGCAAAAAACAGAAGTGGCATGAGTATTAATATCAATACTTTTTTTCTTTCAAAAAGAGTGAAATGTAATTTAACCAATGTAAAGTACCCCACAACACAAAAGCATTAAATTTAAGGAATGGTAAAGCACGTTGTTGTTGTTAGGTGCCATCGAGCTGGTTCCAACTCATAGCGACCTTATGTATAACAGAATGAAACACTGCCTGGTCCTGTGCCATCCTCACAATTGTTGCTATGTTACAGCCACTGTGTCAATCCATCTCATTGAGGGTGTTCCTCTTTTTCGCTGACCCTCTACTTTACCAAGCATGATGTCCTTCTCCAGGGATTGGTCCCTCCTGATAACACGTCCAAAGTATGTGAGACAAAGTCTCCTTGTCTTCACTTCTAAGGTGCATTCTGGCTGTACTTCTTCCAAGACAGATTTGTATGTTCTTCTGACAGTCCATGCAATATTCAATATTCTTCGTCAACACCATAATTCAAATGCATTAATTCTTCTTCGATCTTCCTTACTCATTGTCCAGCTGGACGATGGTAAAAAGCATACATCTAGGAAAAATGTCCAGGGGAACTGAAAGGGTTACCGTCTCCTTATGAGCTTCACCAGCTTTCACCTCCATTCTTCATTCTGACAATTGTTTTCTCCCTCTTACATGAAGTGCTTCAATCCTCTTCTTATCAGAATGCTCTTCTAAATCCCTCCTAAAGAGATATTTTGGATTCACCTAATTCCTATGGGGAGTCCCTGCATGATGGAAATGGTCTACATACTCGGCTGCTAACTGAAAGGTTGAAGGTTGAAGTCCCAGAGGTGCCTTGGAAGAAAAGTCTGGTCATCTACTGCTATAAAATCAGCCATTGAAAACCCTATGGAGTGCAGTTCTACTCTGACACACATGTGGTTGCCGTGAGTCAGAACTGACTTGATGGCAACTGGTTTTTTCATTCCTATGGGATGAACTTTTCTACACTAGTAGGCTCCTTTTGTTTGTTGACTCACCAATTCATTTTCCTTCACTTGCTCATTCATTCACTTAACCAGGATCCATGTCATAACCACTTGGTGCAATGCACAATGATTCTAACCACCCAGAAGAAGAAGATGAACAAGTTAGAGTCCTTGTCTTCAAAGATTTTAAAATCGTGTGGAGTAATCTACACTATACAGTTGAGTATGATGCAGTAACATTCTATGGGGTTTAAGAGGAAGGCTAGACGACTGGGAAGACTTCTTAAAGAAGACAAAATGTGAGAAATGCCTGGAAAGGTAGACAGAATCTTGACAGATGGAGAGGCGCAGATGGAGAGCAATTCCAAGCCGAGGGATAAATGCATGGAAGAGCAGCCTTGGAGGACAGTGACTTGCTGCTCACATGGTGAGTCAGGGATCATGGTGGGGGAAATAGGGAGAGTTGTGGGGAACAGAGCACTAGAACCAAGTTAGATTTTAGTTAAGTGAGGCATTGAAAGTTAGGGCAAAAGCAGAGTGTGTTTCTGTCCAGAGGAGTTTGCTTTGGACAGAAATTGTCAAGTCAGATTCCACAATGCTGGTTTCAAGCGGGCAAAGGAAGGGCGTATGGAGCTGGCTAGCAGTTGAAAAGCTGGCGTTGAAAGGGGAGCACTACAAGGGAAAGAGACATCTTCAGTTGTGACCCTTTTATGTTCATTAATTTTCCATATCTGGGGTCCTCAGACATTTCGTCTTACTGGGATCATTATGTAATGATTACTGCAAAGAGGAGGGAGACTTACGGAGTGCAGGAGAGTACAGGGCCCATGGCCAGGTACCATGCACCTTGGCGACTCTTGCTGGGACTTGGTGGGGCTAAGAATCAAGGAGTCCAGGGGAGCTTTCTTTACCTGAAGAGCGAGAGCATTTCACCCTAGCTCCAGCCTGGAGTTTAAGGGATCCCCTCTCCGCAACTCCTCAGCCTCTTCACCCCCTGCAGACCCCAGCCCCCTTTATCCATGTCATGCCAGCAAAGCCCACATCAAACTGCCTCTTTCTGGCCTTTGAACTCCATCACATGCCCCTAAGCCCCTATTTACATTATTTGGTATTTTACGATAATTAAATGAAAAGTAGTGAGATTTGGGATACAAGAGCTGAACTCCAACCCTGGCACTGGAGGATTTGCTTTCTTTCCCTAAATGAGGGAGTGCCAGCTTTACAAAACAATAACATAAAACCTTTAAAAATATGTGAGTACCTTTTACACCTCTCAGAATTTATCCTAAGGGAGAAGAAAGTGAAAAGAGACCAGTACAAGAATATTCACTAGAGTGCTGTACTATCAGAAAAAACCAGAAATAAATATCCAAGACGAGAACTTATTAAATATATTCTGGTAGCTTCATACACTGGGCTTCTATGCAGCTATTAAAAGGGCTACAGAATTATATTTGTTGACATGGAGGGATGCCATATTAAATTGCTCAGTGATAAATACAGGTTGGAAGCAAGCATCTTATATGGGAGCTATCATGGCAACAGGGGGCATGGAAAAGGAACCTTGATTGGCCAACCTTCAAAATTAAACTTGAGATATGATTTCCAAATGCATTACACCCATAAGTTACTGCATCTTTGTGTTAAGTGGCAAGAGTGTTAAGCATTACATATGTGTCAATGTATATCAAAATATGTTTTATAATCTTGTTTTGGTATTTCCTCATCTTCAAAACAAAGCAAAGCATTCCAGGACTTCAAACAGTGGAAGTAGCCTAGGTCTTGATTGACTTGAGAGTACTTACTCCTTCAGGGTATAAGGGTGGTAAAGCAAAAAACCAAACCCATTGCAGCTGAGTCAATTCTGACTCATATCCACCCTGTAGGATAGAATAGAACTGTCCCACAGGGCTTCCAAGGAGTGACTGGTGGATTTAAACTGGCGACCTTGTGGTTAGCAGCCGAACTCTTAACCACTGCACCACCAGGGCTCCATAAGGATGGTAAAATGGGTTATTTTTATTCTCATATCTCTTTTTGGAGGGGCGTGGTGGTTCAGTGGTAGAATTCTCACCAACCATGTGGGAGACTCGGGTTCGATTCCCCCAGCCAATGCACCTCATGCACAGCTACCACCTGTCAGTGGAGGCTTGTGTGTTGCTATGGTGCTAAACCGGTTTGATTGGAGCTTTGAAACTAAAACAGACTAGGAAGAAAGGCCTGGCGATCTACTTCTGAAAATCAGCCAATGAGAACCCTATGAATCACAACAGTCCAATTCCATTGTGTACAGGGTGGCATGAATCAGGGCCGACTAGACAGCAGCTAACAATGACAACCACATAATCCCTTTTTGGCTATCTATGCTTCCTGTTTTTTCCTACAGAAAACATACTTTACTTATATGATAAAGAGTTTAGAAGCTCCCCTCACCAGGAAAACCAAAACAAAGGAGTTAGGTTTGTAGAGTCCAGCCATCTACCTATAGTCTGCTTACCTTCTTGGCCAACAGTAAACCCAGGAGCCAAGCCCGAGCCCTGGTGGTGCAAACAGCTAAGCAGTTGGCTGCTAACTGAAAGGTTGGAGGTTCGAACTCATCCAGTAGCACCACGGGAGAAAGACCTGGCTATCTGTGCCTGTAAAGATTACAGCACAGAAAATTCTATGTGGCAGTTCTACTCTGTCACATGGGATCGCTATGAGTTGGAATCGACTCAACAGCACCTAACAACACAACAACAGATGGGAGCAGGTCCGCCAGGTCTTTTCTCTTGCGGAGTGGCTGGTGGATTTGAACCACCAGTGTTTTGGTTAGCAGCCAAACGCTTAGCCACTGCACCACCAGGGCTCCTAACTGGGGCCTAAAGTCATGAAATTTTTGCTAGGGCCACAGCTGTAGTTATTTACATCTGGTTAAATTGTTCTTGCTCTCTAGCATAACAAAAAAATGTTTATTGAGTTAGACTAGGTGACAAACCAAAACCAAACCAAACCCATTGCTGTCGAGTCAATTCCGACTCATAGCGACCCTATAGGATAGAGTAGAACTGTCCCATAGGGTTTCCAAGGAGCAGCTGGTGGATTCAAACTGCCGACCTTTTGGTTAGCAGCTGAACACTTAACCACCATGCCACCAAGGTTTCCTAGGTGATGAGTGGTACTTAATTACTCACCTCCCCCCACCTCATATACATTACAGTGGGGTTTTTAAAACACCCTTTTGATGTGCTAATAGTCCCTTCGGGAAGAATGCACCCCTCAGTTAACACACGTTAGCTAGCAATGACTATTTAACCACTTAGGCGTTAAACGCACAGGAACCTATGGTGGTAAATCAGCCCCATTTTGCATTTGAGGAAAGTGAGGCTCAGGTAGGTGAAGTAGATAAAGGACACACAGCTGATGAGAGCTGGAGATGGGAGTAGAAATCAGGCTGGTCTGCCTCCAAAGCCTGGGAACTGTGCAGTACTCCCTTGGGTTAGACTAGGGGTATCAGAAGCTCTGGTGGCACAGTGGTTAATGTGCTCGGTTGCTAACCGAAAGGTCAGCAGTACGAACCCACCAGCCACTCCTCGAGAGAAAGATGTGGTAGTCTGTTTCTGTAAAGATTACAGCCTTGGAAACCCCGTCCTACTGTCTACTCTGTCCTATACAGTCACTATGAGGTAGAATAGACTTGAAGGCAATGGGTTATCAACACAGGTATATGGACTAAACTGATGGTCTTGGAATAATGAACTCATTAGCTACAGCCCTGCTACTAAATACACACACAAACATCCGCAGTGCCCGAGCACCAGTGATCCAGGAATGTGGTGACAGACTAGAAAAGGTTTAAAAAAGGAGGCAACATTTCAGCTTAGTTCCAAGGAAGAAACTAAGATTTCTTTTTGCTTTTACCAGATGCCACAGACTTCCCCGAAAGTATTTCACAGAATTATTTGATTAAAGTGAACTTCTTTTCAGCATATCATGCCAAACACAGGTACTGTTCCTTATCTTTATAGAACACCACTCCAAGTAGACTCAGAGGTTGCTATAGATGAA